TAATATCTTTATTTTACATTACAGTTGCCAGGTGCCCGTTAAAACCGTATAACGGGTCCTCTTTATGCATTTCTAAAATAAACGCAGTTGCACTATCAGGGAGATTACACGTTACAACTCAACTCTAAGTAACGACTAAATTGTTACACATGCCCCTATAAGGTGGTGTAAATCATAACATGTCACATAATTAGACTCACTGATGGTAAAACAGCATTTTTTCTGCCACAAACCAGCATTTATTTGCGTTTATTGCCGCCATTTTGCGACACAGTAATCGACCTAATTTACTGATAATGATATATTTGATCGTTAATTAGTCACTTGCCTTATGACTCCAAACTAGTTAAATTTTGCCCCAAGTAATCGAGGTGCCCCCAATTTTAGTAGCTCAATTAGTTTCACACTAACTAGTAGTTACTGAGCCTCTAGTGTCGACTTTATACCGTAATTTAGGAAATAAATTACACACACTAGCTGGTGCAAACCATTTAATGATATGTTATGGACACATTAGGCTCAGATAGCGTTCAATGAGAAAATACATCTTTGGAAAAATGTTTGAAGACTTTGAAATGAAACAATTTATTGATTTCTAGTGCCACTTTTAGATATGTATATTCATTGCTTTAATGTGCCACAATAATGTAATATTTAAATGTTAAAATGTCTTCAGTTGGGGGCCTTTTTATAAGCAATTGTTTTTGTGATTATATTTGTGAAATCAGCATATATTTCTGCCATCCTGTTGCCATACCATGAATATTTCTGTAAATCTGCCCCTGAAAGTAACTAAGTACATTAAAGCAGTGTATGAAGTACTTGTAGACTTACTTAAGTATTACCATTTTCTGTGACTTTATACTTAAGGAAATATAGCCTACTACTACTACTACTACTACCTATTAATGCATCAGTAATTATAATACAGCAGCCATTCTGCATGATGAGTACTTTTACTTTTGGTACTTTAACTATATTTTGATGCTAATACGTTAAAGAACCTCAAAGTTATTGGTCAGTAGTAAAACAAAACCTAAGGTTAAGGGTGTAAATAAACAATTGAAACAGAGTGAGGATCTATGACAGTAAAAAACACATGACCAACACATATTTAATCTCTATAATGTCCCCAATGGTAGAAGTAATATTAACAACTGTAATACCACAGTGTACAAAAAACTAAAATTCATGCATTCAAAATTTCACTAAATTAAAAGTAAAAGTAAGTATTACCATCAAATTGTACTTATACCAATAAGTGGAAGTATTAATTATGCAGAATGGACCATTTCAGAACAATCTTATAATTGGATTAAAATGATTAGTGCATTGATGTAGGAGCATCACTTTAATGTTGCAGCTGCTAAAGGTGATAATTTGAACTACTTTATATACTAACAGGTATAATTTCTGTCAATATGCCATCATTTTGCCTATTTGTTGATTCTTTTTGTATTAATTGAAATCTGCAAAGTAACTAACAACATCTGTCATATCAATGTAATGAAGTAAAAAGTATTTATCTTTAAAATGTAGTGGTATAAAGTATAAAGTAGCATATAAGTATTAAAGTTAAGTACAGTACTAAGTGTACTATACTTCCATCACTGAATGATCCTTTGTGTCTGTGGGCCCATATGTCCTGTAATGTATATATACAGTGATGTTTGAAGATTAAAATGTCTGCATGTCTTGAGTAATGGTTAAAAAAATCATTAACACGATGAACACTCTGAGATGGATCTGTGGAAGGTCCTTGGAGTTATTACTGTGAAATTAGACATCTCTTTTAATGCAAATGTACCTAGCTACTTGAAAAGCTATTTAGTTTTTTTATTGCAGATAAATCACGGTGTGTTCTCTACGGTACCACACTCGGCTCTTAATTGCTTTTTTTAGTAGCCTAATCTCCATTAGTACAGTATTTTGTCTATGTCTCGCTGCTTAATAGTGTGGCTCTGTTAATAGAGGAACTATCTGAGTGTAGGACAGTATATTTTAACCTACGCTAAATAGACTGTCCATGCAGTCTGCTCATTATAATCAATAAACTAATGCTTCACACTCTCAAGAAATAACTAATGACAAAGTCTGGAAGTGATAGAAGAATAAAATGATCTCTTTAGATAAGTAGCATAGGATAATATGTTTGGAAACACACTTTGAATTTGATACATTCATTCTGTTTACTGAACATACTTTTAAAATAGAGCTACAATTATTACTGGCTGAAATATACAGTGTGCAATATACTGCAATATAGGCTTGAACCCTTCACTCCCTGAATGCTGAGTCGGGAACATGCGCAGAGTAAACGAAATAGCAGAGGTCCTTTAATTACCGCGCACGTCAAGTTGGCCGGAAAGAACCAGTCCATGACAGGAAATGAACACTTTTGCTTCAGAATAAAAGCACAGTGTATCACTGAGGATGAAGAAACGATAACAATAGCATTTTAGGTGTACAGCTATTTCATTAAGGATTCAATATATTCTATAATTTATATTATAAAACAGCAAGAACAACAAGACATCTATTGATGAGCCTCGGGCATTCACCAAAATAGCCTATTTAAAGTCAAATACCGTGCCTAAGTAGACATTTGAGGTACTATTGAAGTATCGTTCAGAAGGCGATATTGCTCGCTGCTTTTTCTATCACTACATTTATTTGACACTGCAGTATTACTTTTTTTTATACTGAATTTTTACTGAAGATCCCTGTGTCAAAATCCAGTGTCAAGACCTTCTTTATTTCAGTTTTGTACTCACGTGTTGCATATTTCTTAATTCATAGGTGTTAAATCAAATTAAAATAGGCTACAGCACAAGGCCCTTAGTAGTATTCCACGATGGTAATGCTGTACACAATGTATAGAATTAAATGTTAACTAAATGAAAGTCAAGTGTGCATAATGTAAACATGCCCTAATAAAAGTAAAAGTAGTCCATGCAGAAAAATATCCCCTGTGAGTGTTTTCATGTGTAGCATTTTACCTTTGTATTTGGTTTCTAAATCTAAAACAGTGCATTATATCTGATATGGTTGTGATGATTTGCATGTCATGTAATATATAAACTTTTACATTAACGTTTTAGTGTACGTTTTCTAGACTTCAGAAAACATACTTACGTTTTGCAGCTATACATTTCATGTAATTAAACTGCAGAACTTTTACTTGAGTATCTTCTACAGTGTACTTTCTACTTTCACTTAAATTACCTACATTTACTGTATGTAAGTACAGTTTTGAGGTACTTGTATTTAGTACTTTTTACTCCACTACATTAATTTGACAACATTAGCTAGCTGCTAGTTACTTTACACATTCGGATTCTTAATACAAAACATAAATCAGCTAATAAATGGATTGTTATTATGGATTAAGCTATCCGTCAGCATAAAGAAGTTGAAATTAGCTTCACCTTTACCAGCTGCAAAATAAGTGATGCTTACACATGAATGCATCCCTAATTATAATTATGAAATGAGCTATTCTGCACACTGGGTACAAGTTTTTTAAATGCAGGACTTGTTTATTTATTTATTTTAAGTAAAAGATCTGAGTGCTGTTCGCCTCATTAATGACCTGAATTAATTCATCTCCCTCCCCTTAAGAAAGAATTTCCCTCGGGATAAATAAA